TTTTATTCTTACCTTGAACTTTTATTTTTTTTTATTTTTTTTATTTTAGATTGATTTATTAATTTGATCTCTCTTTTTTTCCTTTAATTTTCCCTTCAATTAAAAATTATAGATATTCCTTTTATATTTTTTCTTGAATGAGATTGTTGTTCTCTTAATTGTTATTTTTTATCATTAAATTTATTTATTTATTTTATCATTTGATATTTTATTTTTTATTTGATCCTCTTGGTTTTCTCATTATTTTAGGGCTTACTCAAGAGTCAAATAAAAAAATATATTTATAAAACAAATATAAAAAATACTATTTAAAAAAAAGGGTTTTAACCCTGTTTTAATTGATTTACTAGGGTAATTGCTTTATACTTAATTAGTTTTCTCTAAATTTCTTTTGAAATTCTGCTCAGTTTAAGTTACAGGTTACCTGGATAATAGGTCAATTTATTAAATTGAGTTGAATTTTAAAATAGTAACTTTTTATATATAGTGTTTCCAATTTAGTTACTAGCTAGAATCATAAATTTAAAAATTTAATATGAGTTAATATTATTTTCTTCTTAATTATATCCTTTGAAGTTATTCATTTTAAAAAAATAGATTTTATTATTTTTTTATGTCATTTTCAATCAACTTATCTTTATTCCAAGATTAGATAAGATATTTGTAATGGTGGTCCATGGATTTTTTAAATCATTTTTTATCCTTTTTAATTGTTATTTAAATTTTGATTTCTATTATAATTTCACTTTGTTTTTTATTTTACATTCTACTAAATTATCCCATTTTTATCATTTTACTACTTGTAAATTTTAACATTCTCACCTAATTTTATTAGTACTTTATTTTTTAAGATTTCTTTTATTACTTTTTTAATTAATTTCACCCCTCTATATTTTTATTCTTGTGAACTTAAAATCATTATTTGTTTCATTTTTCTTGTAATAATATCTTAATTTTTTTAATTTTTAAAATACACTTGGAATGCTTGACTATCATTTTTTGACACTGCAAAAAAAACATTTTACCCGGCCCATGGACTACCGGGTCCGGAGAAGCTCAAATTCCCTGGCAAAACACTAAAGGACTTGGGTGATAGAACATTGGCTCAAAATTGAAGTGCAAGTTCCTTTCATTCCTAAAACACAAATGCCCTGACCTGCCGTGGGTGGTCTCCATCTACTTCTACCGCGGTAGTACTTCGAGAGATTGGCTGATGATTCTATTCTTGTACTCCCAGATCGTCTTCATTCTTTTTTTAGATTAATATGGTGTCTGGGCCAACTTGCGCGCACCATGACTAATCCCCCAGGTCTTGAAGTTAACGATCATGTAAGCCTCCAGTGGCCATTATATGAGCAACCAAGGATTCGAACTTGAAACAACAGAGAGAGCAAACCTCTTAATCCTAAATCCTTATCACTTGACCACCACATAAATGGTTAATCGTTTAATCCTTACCACTTGACCACCATCTAGATAGTTGACCGTCTTCATTCTTGATCGCGTCTCTCTTGGTTGCCATCATTTCCTTGTCACCGAAATCCTATTTTATCCAATATAGAAAGCCAACAAAGAAAACTCTTGAACGGTAAAACGAAAGTGGTCCTCGCCTGCCTCGTCCACTTCTTTTGAGCATGATTCAATATGTTTCTTTGTTTATTAAGGCAATTTTAGCTCTGCCCCTAACCCAAAGGCCAGCCTGGGGGCAAAATAAGCATACATGCATCCATGTTATAGTTGATTCTGAAAATTAACCCTGTGTCCGTCAACACCATAAGGTTTTATTTTAGTGATTTTTCTTTATCCTCATAAGTTGAACGAGAATCAGAGTGAAAGAAAGGAAAGGGGAAAAAGCGACAGGAAAAAGACCTGTGATCGCTGTTAACTATTTTATTAACAGATAGATATACAGAGATTAACAAGAAAGAAAGAAGAAATTAACAAGAGAAAGGGGTGGTTTTTTTTTGCACTCGGATTGTCAAAACATGAGATGACAAAAAATTTGTACGGTTACATGGGTGAGAAGATTTTGCATTCATCATATACAATCTACAAAAGATCATTAATTCTACCACAATTCACAGCTACTGGAACTAGCTACTGGAAGTCTAAAGAAATTAGTTTAGAGACAGTACTGCCCTGTGTTGATTCTTGAAAGAAGAAAGAAGACAAGCCCCCTTTGCAGAAACACACCAGACCATTACTCATCAGGCAGGCAAACACTTGAGATCTCACCTGATTGATGTTCAAAAGCAAGCCAGCCATGCAAGACAATTTCAGGCGGGCTCAACCAAATTGACAGATTCTGAGAAGTGAGCACTACTTTCCATCATATTTAAACTGAAGTGCCTATAATTAGCTGCACTTCAGCGGTATTCATAATTTTGGGTCTTAATTAAGGAGGCATATATATACTGATCAAACTCTCCTTCTGGCGCCATAGATGATGACCTAGGCTGAGGCCACCCGTGACCATTAATGGGTCAGACATCAGAGATAAGGATCGATCTGAACTGGAAGATCTCTGTCTCTCCGTCTCTCTCTCTCTCTCTCTCTCTCTCTATCTCCGCTGCGCCTCCTGAGAATAAATGAACACATAAATTTATGTGCAGGCCCATGCCACGCAATACGCCTGCTGTTGATTTTATATATCGTATATCGTGAGCGGACTCATCATATATAGGACAGAAGGAAAAGGGTGCAATGGAATCTTTTTAATTGTTCAGAATTGTATTTCACTAGTATCGTTTGTTTAATGTAAAGTGATTTTTTAAGTATTATTTTATAATTTTTTCTGTATTTATTTAATGAAAAATATTTTTCTAATTAAATGAAAAGTTAGCTTAATGTTTAGTAAAGTATTATTTTTTTTATTTTGAATAAAAAATATTCTTTAAAAATTATAAAAATATCTTGTTAATTATATCAAGCATGGTTAGTTATTTTTAAATTTCTGTATATATATTTTTTTATTTTTAATTTTATCATTTATAATTTAATTTTTATATCAAATTTAATCTTTATTTTTTTATTCTATTTGTTTTTATCTTGTTATTTTTAATTAATTTTTATATATCAACTAAATTTGATCTTAATTTTTTTATTATTATTTATTTCATTTAAAATAATTTATAAAATTAATATTTTTTTAATTTCACCATCTTTCAATTTTTTTATCTATTACATTTGATATTCATTTTTTATGACTATTTGTTTAATTTAAAATAATTTATAAAAATAAAAAAAATTATAATTTTATAATTTTTTAGTTTCTATGAATTTTAAAAAATAAATAAAATATTAATAAGTTATTTTTCATCTTATTAAAAAACATCTTTAAAATTATTTTTTTATAACACTATCAATTATTAAAAAATAAATCACTTTTTAATAATTAACTTTCCATAAAAATCCCTTTGGAAAATTTATTTTCCGACGAACAATCTGCGCATGGATATTCCACTTCTCCACGCTATCCGACGAGCAGCTATTTTTGTCCATGGTTTTTTACATGTCTTGCCTCATCGATCAGTCCAATTTGTTGGAACCAGAGATTGTTAATTCTCATGATCTTGGGAATTTTGCTGTATAATATCAATAATAAAATGGCACCCTGCCATAGAAAATTGATCCAAGGGCTGCTAATTATTAAATTTATCTTCTTGTTAATTTTTGGTTGACACAATTTCCTTGGATTTATGCTCCGTAGGAGTTTCTGCTCTCACCATTTTCTGAAGCAGGTATGCAAATGCCATTACTAAACATCATTACCTAATCATTAACCTGTTTTTGTCATTGTCCTCACAGAATTTTGCTGAGATTTTGAACATGAAGTTGCACGCCAATTAATACGAGTGACTGCTTGTTTATCATCTCTATTCCCCAAATAATTTGTTTAATTTTCCACCCACCATAAAATATTTCTCAAAAGTTCATTTTCTTCTTTTTTCTTCCCCCGCTGCTGCTGCTGCTGCTGCATCAGCAGCCGGCAGCGCACATGCATCATGGTGCTGATAAGAAAGTTTGCTGATGCACTGAACAAATTGAAAGCAAGCTAGAATTAGGTTTTGTGGTCATGGATAGGAGAAGAGATTGCAATTGGAGTTGCATAGGGGTCATTGCCACTTTTTATAAGATAAAACCTGCAGAGGCAGCACGGGGGCCTCCACCTATTGGGCCATTTTCATCTTTCAAGTCAGACTCTAATGCAAGTGGTCATGCGATGCCAGGTGACATTGTTTCCCGTTAACCTACGAATTCGTTCGTGTACAGGTTATGAAATTATTATAATTTTATTAAAATGAATTAAAATAAATTATAAAATTTTAAAAATAACTTGGATTAACTCAAATTAACCTACTATAAAATTTAATTTTTAATAAATTTAAAATTTAAAAAATAACTTGGGTTAACTCAAATTAACCTACCAAATTTATAATGTAGATTATGAAACCAGTATACCTAAATAAAACATAAATTAAAACAGCTTATGAAACACATTTCTTAATAAACTAAATATTAAAAAATAAAATTAAAAAAATAAAATAATATAAAAAATAATTTTAGTCAACCACAGTTAGGTCTTATAGAAAACAGACCAAATAAATTATTCGAATTAATCATTTAAACATGTTCTTCAATTATAAATTTAGGATAATCTCATAAAAAATAAATAAATAAAATTATGATGTTTGATTTATATAAAATTAATATTGAAAGATGAAATTAAAAAAAAAATTAAAAAAACTATTTCAATTAACAGTATTATAAGACAAGGAATACAGTAAAAACCCATTTTCTTTAGTTTTTTTGGTTAATAATTTTTATTTAATTTTAACAAAAGGCAAAAAAATTGAAAGGCGAAGGTGCAGATTGAAAATTTTTCGAAACATTTCGAAAAATTGTAACCTACAGAAACCATAATGGATCATTGTTAAATCAATAGAGACCCAAATATAACTCATCCAAAACATTTTTTTTTTAAAGGACTGGTCCGGCCCAAAAGGTAGTGCACAAAACCCTTTCTTTGCTAAGCTCACCGCAGGTAATTTCCTCTGAGGATGAATATGAAAATGCTGTGAAGAGTTGAAGCTGGAACTTCGAAATAGACAAAGTATTAGTCCCTGGCACGCTCTCAAGGCCAAGTGCGCTTCTTGTTTAAAAGTAGGGAAACTAGACACTTGCTTGCCAGCGGCGACGCCCTAAAGAAAGCAGTATGGTGTTGGAGGTTAGGAGTCTGAGAAAGGCAGTTGTACCTTCTACTCTAATTGAGAATCCTTCACCTGGAAATCTCCAGTCCACCCGCCTTGCTCTCCATGTATTTTCTCTTCTCGTCTCGTCTCGTCTCTTCTCGTCTGTCTCTCTTCAATTATCTATATTTATGTAGTATTGTAATAATCTTAAATGTGTCTGCCCTTTTTTTGTCGTACGTTCAGGTTAATGAGGATGGCTCCTCTTGTTTGGTCTACATTGCCTCTGGTTGTCACGTGTACAAACTCCTGGTATAGATAGTTAATAACTTGCATTTTGCCTTGATTTTTCTTTAATAATCTTCTTCTTTAATATTTATTGAATTCAATAGGACCCAGTACTTGATTGTCTTCTTCTTTTTATTATCCTATTTGGTCTAGGAATTACCAATTAGGGGAGTGAGTTCTTTGTGGGTTATAAATATTTTCTTTCCGACTCTTGTTTTTTAATATTCATAAGTATGGAAACAGTGCCTTTGCTATGCTATGATTACTCCAGCGAGGTGGTTTTTGAAACTCACAAGAGTAGCGACCAGTGAAATTATGTGGAATCTGATTAGAACCAAACAGTGCCGCTGTATAGGGTCTGTTTGCATTTTCATTTTAGAAAAAGTGCTTTCTTTAAAAAATGAAAGATGGGAACACTTGTGAGGATCTGCTGTTAAATGAAAGTTCGATATGAGTCATCAAATGAATCAATTTGTGAAAAGGGGTAAAAGATCCAAATTGTGAAGAGGATCTTCCAAAACAAGAAAGTGTAGAACTTAAAATGTGTTGGAGAGGGCCTTTTTATGCTATCAGTGATTTTGATTAGACCAGTACAACAATGAATTTGGATGAACGAGCAAGGTCCCATCATCCATGTCATTAGTGTTTGTTTTGGATGCTCATGTTAGATCTGTTTAAGAAAATTAAGGAGCGGTTCACTGTCTCATCTTTTTGATAGATTCCTATGGACAATTCCTCTGTCAGTGAAGGGAAAGAAAGCCTCCTCATTCCTGTACAGACACAGGTATTTCATTACATTCTAAGCATGTTGCTGTTGCAAATTTGCCGAAGCAGGTCTCAATTTTGCATATCAGCTTAGTTCATTGTATAATTTCACTATTGATGCATCAATTTAATTGCTTGTCATCTGACTTTCTGAAGCTCATGGACTCTTCATTAGTTAATCGCTGCCCTCATCGGTCAGAAATTCAGAGTATAGTGCTCTCCGAAACTGAAAGTACGTGACTTTGCATTGACATTAACAGATGACATACGGTCTGTTCCTTAGCTAGCTTACCCTATTGATGGAGTTGATGACTTCTCAAATTATTTGCAGGCCCTGGTCACTTGGTGTTGGGAAGTGTGGATGGTTATGGACACCTTATTGTGTCCAGACTAGATACCAGTGGTAACGGTATACTACTCCTTATGTTAGCTCTCATAATTTCAGCATAATTTATGATGAAGATTGGTAGCACGATTGTATTCTACTTTGAAACTTTATATTTCTTCCTACTCCTTCATGAACTTATGAGATGGATTAATCAGGCATTTTATGCTCATTGTTATTCCTTTACTTCAATCTATTTTGAAGCTGGAATTTAGCACATAGAGGTTGACTATACCATGATTCAGAAAAGGAAAATGTAGTTTGGCTCATTTGCTGCTAAGTTGATAAACTGTTGATGGTGATCACCAGTGATAGTCTATTCAGGCTTGGAAGAGCTTGTCATTGCGGCACATAATACTATCATAGAAAAGTCATAAACTGATGGATAAATTCAGACTATGCTTTTAGACTGTAAATATATTGACCACTACTCTTATTTTTGAAGTTAAACTAGCCACTCTGTATGCTCTCTGATCATGAGATTACATTTTGACTTTAAATCTCAGTGTTGGTTGATGCAAATTTATTTATTTGATTTAAAAAAAAATTGCCAACAGTGCATCAACGACCAGTTGTGTGTTTAACTGGAACTAATCTGATTCTATTTTTACTTATTGCTCCGTCTCTGTGTTAGTTTGTGCTGGTTCCCAACCTAAGTAGTCAGCCATAAAATATGCCTAGGGTTTCTTCAAAGCTTGTCATTTTGGGTTTATTCCATTGCTAACCTATAAGCCCAGCAGTCACACTTCAAATTTTTAGGCCTTGAAAAAATTGCTATACCACTGGCTCTTCTATCCAATCAATGGTTTTCTGGTTTGAGGGCCATGCATGTCATTTGCTTGCATAAAGTACAGCTTGATAATTAAAACCACACATATCTTACTAGTTTTCACTATTGGTTTCTGTTTTTACACGGTTACTGATTTGGGGTTGATAGAAATGCCTTATCAATGTGTATTTCTGTTATTTTCAGATATTGATCAGCTTTCTTATTCAGTATTACCTCGAGATTCTGGTGTTGGAGAAAGCAGTTGGGCAGGCCTTTGCTTCAGTCGAAGTCAATGGTCCATGGTGACTAATTTTTTTGTTGCACTAATTTTAAACTTGTTGATATACACTCTGGCCACAGTGAATGTCATTCAATATCTATTGAGCTGGCAAGAGATTGAAACCATGGCAGCAGATGGCTAAGTGTATGGATTATAGATTATTGAGTACTGTGTTTTCTCCGTCTCAAGTGGATGAGCATATCTAATCCTGATAGTGAAATCATTGAACTATGCCTGATTCCCATTTTAAAACTCACCAAATTTTCTTTACTTGTTGTTTTATGCTTTATTCCCATCAACAAATTTATGATTACTTTTTTGGTCAATATGAACTTTTATCTTTTCTGTTAGCATCAATTCTCTAAGTAAGGAGTGAGGTGTCTGGTACAAAAGGTTCTCTATGCCAATGTATGTCTTATCATTATAAGTTATATCTCTTTATATTTCAGAATATAACATTATAAGCAAACTGTCAGAACTTGATGCTGTGCAATAGTAATTATGTAATTATATATGTATCTTTTGTTTTTATGTCAGATGTTATAGTTTTTGTTGAGAGGAATTAGGAGCTTGGAATTTTAGACAAAACTACCGTTGGTGTGTGAGCTTGACTGGAAGTTCTTTAGTGATGTTGATTATTTGCAAATGTACTGATAAGCAATAACTGGGACGTAACATCATTGTTTCTGAACATCACTAGAATAGAATTTTACTAGATGAAATATGTCAGCTCTATCCCTGTTGCTTTCTTTACATCCAGCTCCTTTTAACATGAATGGTAGTTTTATTTGCTGCCTAAACTTTTTGTGCCTTTATCATCTATGGTTCTAGGCAGCTGTAGCAAGTAGCTTTTGCAAAAGCATTGATGTTTATGACCAAGACATCCATGTGCGCACTTTACGTACGTGAGTATAGTTTCTGCTAGTAAAATTGTTCCTTTTGATTATCTTACTTAGAGTATGTTTGCAATGTGTTCCCACAAATTTTGATTTCTTTTACTTAAAATAATTTTTTTTTAATGTTTTCAGATCGTTTTGATGTGTTGATGTCAAAAATGATTTTTAAAAAACAAAAAAACTTCATTTTAATGCATTTCTAAGTGAAAAGTACTTTGAACTGTCACCACTACCATAATCCCAAACACACCCAGAAAGCCATGTGGACCATGTTATATTTATGGTTAGAAAAAAATGGATTTGTAATATTCATAGTTTAAAGAAGAGGGTGAAGGGATCTATGATTTAGGAATGGCAGGCTGTGTTGGCTGGAGTTCATTTGATAGTTAAGGAATTTGTTTTCTCTCAGAAGGTAGAAGCCATCTAAATATCTTGTGATTTCTTGAACAGACCAACAAAAGGCCTTCAATCTGAAATACATCAATTTCCAGCAAAGAACATCTTACCTTTTATGATGTGTCAATCCCTTAGAATACCTGAGTTGTTTTTCTACTTCAAGTAACTTCTTTGTCCTGAATGTTGGGCTATTTTTAATGCATTTATACCGTTTATTTGACTATGTTGCAGACTCTGGTACCCATCCTCATTGAACTTTTTGGAGAGTTCGGGCAATGGAAGTGAAGATTCTATACTAGCTGTTGCTGAGGGCTGCCAGGTACTATTGTGTGTTTTCATATTTTCCCTTTTCCCTGTTTGTTTACATGTGCTTTTCTGCTTCATCTATTGGAATTTACTGCAGCTCACACTATGGGACTTGAGAATGAAAGAAAATGGTGGTTGCCTACAACGAATTTCTGGTTCTATTGGTGATATTTTCTATGCTGTGTGCAGTTCCTCAACCGGTAATGTTGCAGTAGGTGGGGCTGATCGTACTGTGACCATATATGATCCTCGCAGGTTGGTCATCACTATTGGATTGTTTGGGACAATTAATGGGGATAGAGATTTCATTTATAATAGCTTGGGATTTTCATTTCTAATGAGGGAGGTCTCTTTTGTGACATGATTTGTTCATCTAATCAGCATGTTATTTAGGTAGATGTTGGCTGAGGATCAATGATTGCATGTTTGTTCTTCTAATCAGCATGTTATTTATACTGTCCAAATTTCTGGTGTTATTCAATATGAATAGGAAAAGATGGGGGAAAACTACTCTTCCCTTCAACAGAATGAGACATAATTAATGTTTACATCTTGAATGTAGATGGTCGCCAATTTCCAGATGGGTGCATTGCTCAAAATATGAGGTCTGTTTTTATTTGATCAATTCCTTCCCTTAAATTCTTGTTTTTTCAGGCTCTTCTCCGTATTTTGACATCCAAGGATAATTTTATTTATTGTATTAGCAATGGAAGGAAGAACAAAATTCATTGTTATCTTATTTGTTTATTGATATTTTGCATATTTAGTATTTTTATTAAAAGGTATCTGTTCATGATTTGATTGTTTCACTGGAGATTAGACAAAAGATGAAATAGTGAAGAGGGATAGCAAAATATAAACTCTTGAAATGAGTGTCTACTGCAAGTCTACTCCTCACAGATCCTCTTCTCTAACTTTCCTGCATTTAAAGAGATCTCTCTTGTTCAAATTTGTCACTAGATTACTCACTTATGAGATTTATTGTTTTTCTTGAACACAAGAAATTCTAATGGCTTTCAAGATTAAGAATGGGGCTTTCTGGTTACATATGCTAACCTGTATCGATTTTTTCTTCTTCTGAAGTTCTCTCTCTTCTGGGTTCTAATGCTGCATATTAAATCATTTTGCTTTTGCTACAATTGCAGATAACCGGACTTGCATTCTCATCGCTTGACCCTGATTACATCTATATCCAAGGGGTTGATTATGAGGTTATTGCTTAGGAAGCCGTGACAGCTTCTCTCTTGTTTTACTGCTTTTCTTGCTTGGCATTTTTTAGTAACAGATTGACTAGACGTACATTAAGTTTACATTTCAGTTGCCTTTACAAAGTTGTTGTTTGATCACCCTCACTTATTGTACTGGGGGCATTTTCACTTCATAAAGACGACAAAATATAATAGAACTGAAATTAAATAGCTTTTGCTTTGTTACCATGGGGGAAGAAAGGTGCTTGTACACTGCTAAATGTACAGAGGATGGAAAATTCTCGTGAACACTAAAAAAAAATGCAAGTTATAATGCTGAAAACTCCGAAGCACTCCATTCTCGCTGAACATCTTCTAGAGAAACACCTTGTATGACCGTCTGTAAATTGCTAGTATGTGAAAAGGGTAAGTGTTCAACCTTCCTTGTCTATGAAATAAACGTCTTTTGAGCAGAGAGCTTTAAAGGCTTTGTCAGAAAATTTTCAGGGATATAAAATGGTAGATAGAAAGCTCTGAATTATAGACCAAAATATGAGACGGGATCCATGTGGCCGTCACATGCCCGCTGGAAGTGTTTGTTGACGACACAGGAATAATTTTGCGTACAATTTGGTGCCAGTTATCAAGGCATGAAGAGGGCCTTTTAATTGTTATCCGAAGCAGTCCTTGATTGTTAGAGTTTTTTAGTTCCTGTGATGCTGTAGATTCTGCATAAAATTGGAGCATCTTTCTAAATTGTTTTCCTATGTAAGAATTTTTCTTCTTTTTTTGCCCTCTAATCCCGTTTGATGATGAACATATCCGCAGGTCCTTTGTGGGCAGCGGAAAGAATGCAAAAAGGTCTTTTCATTTAGAGGAGATTCAAACTGGCTTGGGTTCAGTAAGGTATAATGTTCTATTTTTTTCAAGATTGTACATGGTTTCAGGGTGCGCTCAGCATGCATTACTTGCATTTCGAAGAATTATGTGATTGTGGTAACTGCTCAGTTTGGATTAATTTGGTTCAAACTTGTATGTTCTCTATCTCCGCCATAGCTGGAATCAATTGGTTTGAGTGATAAAAACAATATCCCATTGTTTATGCTGTTGGAAGTTTCAAGCAACAGTAGCAAATTTTAGAATTTGGTTCTGTAACACATGAAAATGACCCAGATAATTTTAGATGAAGCACGGAAAGAAAATGGGAGAGTGATAACTCATTAACTTGTAACAAACACTCACAACCCATTTGTAGCTCCACCAAAGCAGCGCACTAAAATACCTGGGAAGTCTTACTCTTCCAAGGTTCGCATTCGCACACTTCTAATTTTATTAAATTCGTGCGAACTTAGCTGAAATGCGGTATGATAATTTATATAGAACTCATAAACAGTATAGTCGTCTGCCTGGTCCAAGTAATTCCATCTCTGTTGTGAGTTGGGCTTGCATTGAATTAAGCTGCGTTTCTAGTTAGTCAACAACACCATATTGATGCTGTTCTAATATAGGATGAGCCAACCATCTCACACGTTTACTTCCGATCATTGCTGCAGTGTTGCGATAGGGATGTAGTGGGCGGTTGGTGTGATTCTGGTAGCATCTTCGTGGCTGACGTTGGAGTTAACGAGAGTGAAATAAACATGGTGATAGATCCTTGAAAATGTGTGCGCTTTGAGGTTGTGCTTATGTGTTCTCATCTATGGGGTTGGATACTGCTGCTTAGGCATCAGGGTTGTTTTTTTAGCAGGAACACTAGTTACCGTTTCTCCAAGCAGCCATTTGATAGTCCAGCCAAGCCACCAATTAACTTCTTCAACAGGTTGATTTCTCGAACACGGCATTCACCTCGGATTTAGGTTTGACCTTCCATGTTTGGAACTGGGTATGCTAGAGTAGGAACTGGGGCATCAAATATTACCTGTAACTTATGTACCGCCTAATTTACAGTTTTGCAGTTTGATTCTGACAGAATGCAAGTGCCGCAGCCTTACCTCGGCTGCAAAACCGACGTCAGCCATGAATTGACAAATCTTGTTTCTTGATAAGCGAACTGGTACGACTCTTAAGCCGCATGGGTATGCAATGATCATCAGCTTATTATTAAGAATTAAGATTATGATTAGTTAAGAATAAACTAAAGGGTGTCAGGAAAAGTACTGTTGACCCATACTCATGTTACTGTTTTACAATGGTATTTTTTTTTTGGTTTCTTGTATTCTGATATTTCAATTCAATTTTTCCAATTTGCTCTTTGAAGTTGCATTTTTTGGGAATTTGACTTGGCTATCTATTTTGGATTCCCATTTTATGATATCTCATGGTGTTGGGAATTTTCTTTTTGCTAGGTTTAGGTCAATTAAATGAGATTAGGTTTACATCAATTAAATGAGATTTTATTGATTTAAAATAATTAAAGTTATTAGGATTGAATTTGAAAAATATGCAAATATTTAATTTTTTTCTTGAAGGACTTCTTTGTTTTTGTTTTTTGTGTTTTAAAAATATTTTTTAAAAAAATTAATAATTTTTTTTTTCTTTTAATTATTTTTTTATGTTTTTAGATTGTTTTGATGTATTGATGTCAAAAATAAAATTTAAAAAATAAAAAAATAAAAAAATATCTTATTTTAATATATTTTTAAGTAAAAAATATTTATAAAAACAATTACCGTTATATTACTAAACGATTTAAATAAAAAATATTTATAAAAACAATTACTGTTATATTACTAAACAACTCTAAATAATCAAGTGCTAAATTGCACAGAAGATCAACACTTTTTTATTTTCGGATCACTTAATTTCTTCCCTTTTTTTTTTCCTTCAAGTTAATCTTTTTAAATTTAGTTTATTTGGGGTTATTCTTACAGAGGTTATTTTGGTTGAATAGAAAAGGGGATCCTGCTGTGGTGTTGAGGAAAAACCTCGACGCGTGGTTCATGCTCGGTAACCTTCGATTGTATCTAAAACAATTAACACTTGGGAGAAAATTAAAAACAATGTAGGAATTGGTGTAGACAGTCAGGGAGGCAGATGGAATGGTAACGCTGTGTAAATTGTGTTTCTATAAATTAAAAAAAAAAAAAAGGATAATGAAAATTTAGTCTAATTTAAAATAAAAAAATTTTATGGTTTTAAATTATTTTGATATACTTATATTAAAAATAAAATAAGTTTAATTTATTTTATTTTAAATAAAAAACATTTTAAATTATTACAGTTACGATCATATCGAACTAAAGGACGGCGGATGTTGTCTGATACTTGATGTTTTTTTTCTCCGATGTGTCAGCCTATCCTTGTTCAATTGGCAGGCTTTTTGCAACCTTAAGAAATTCATGGCTTTCTTGTCTTTCTTCATCTTTCCCAGAAGTTGTATTGTAGCTTAGGGTTATTTATACTTGAGCTTTTCTCCGTCGTCCATTTGTTTTAAGACACAAGTAAATGAGCACGAAAACTAAATTCAGGTGATATGGTTGGAATGGTAACTCCAAGTCATCATCTTTCTGTCCTGTGCTTTCATGTCAGTATAGCAATCCATGCTTATCACATACATTTCAGAGTTGACCCGACTAATAAGCTATTTCCAGGTCAACTTGAGAAAAAATAATTAAAAAAATTAAGATTGTAATATTTCATGTAAAAAAATTAAAAAAATTGTGTATATAATTTATAAGTATAGCTATCCCATAGAAAAATTAAAAAATAATTTATATAAATGAATGTTGTATATATAGTTATTACACATGGAAAAATTGATAAACATTTCATAAAGATGTATATTATAAAAAAAATATATGGGAACAAGTATTTACAAATTAATTTTATATTTTTTAAGTTTATTAAAAATATATATAAAAAAAAGTTAGATTTTACCTGGATTTTAGATTGACCAAAAAGATTGCAAGTTAAGGTTTTGACCATTGAAAACTTGATCAATCCATCGGATTAGGTCAGGTTTTATATCTACTGAGCAATCTGTTGAATATATTGCACATATCTTGCATTTGAGGTCTCAGATTTTCTTTTGCTTTGTTTTCTTTCAATCCGCAACTTTTTTTCCACAAAAAAAATAAAGAAATATCCATGACATTGAACATTCCAGGATTTGAAGCAGTTTGACAGTGCATTGTGGTCCTCTTTTATCCTCTCCGGGGCTAAAATCTTTTTGAGTTTTTCAAAGGACGAGGTCAATATACCTAATCAAAGATCGGATGGATCTAGACTGCTGTCCTGTTCGGGGCTTTCTAGTGGGGTTAGGAAGACCAGAAAATGGGGACCCATCGTTTGAGATCGATCGTCAGTTCAATCAGCAACTCAACAACTGCCATGAATGGCTATATCTTTCTCCAATAATTAATACCCTATCTCATATGTGCACCTCTTATTTCATGGCAAGCCATGGACAGGTCATTGTTTCAGGCCATGAAAATAACAGTGTTCGAGTTTTTTCCCAACTTAAAATAATAGCTTTGATCTTGGCCCTCGAGTCTCATCCTGCGATCATTGACCAGGAATCAAGAAATTCACATAAACTAGGCAAACACCTTCTCCTCTTATCAACATGTGCTATAAGAAATCGACGCCAGCAATTTGCCATATAAATAACAAAATTGCCAGTGGTTGGATGCTGCTTCTTGTGTTCTTAGGCCAAGTGCATATCCCTTGTCTCGTTGAATAACTTACAAAGAGACGTGCAGAAAGAGTCAAACTGTGCATTTCACCATGCCATGCTGTTAATTACCTCTACTAGAAGGCATAAGACATACATGGGTGCTTATATTCTAAGCCTTCGAGGACCACAGCTTGAGAGGCCCAGCAATAAAATATATCTGGGTCAGAAACTAGAGCGCCGTTTACGTTTGTGAAATTCTTTATGCGTCGATGCTGATAGTTTGTTTTTCTTTTTCTTTTTTTGCTGGCAGCACGCAAATGGACATGAGTTCATGTATACATGCGGTGTTTATTTTTACATTGGACAGTTGATCTGGTCTTTTGTCTTGTCCACCGAGAATTATTCATGTGTGTGAACAGAGCATAAAGAAAGCTTCGGTCTCTCCTCAAGTTCTTGGAAGTTGAGACCAAGAACAACAGGTGGGGCAAATATTTTTTAATGGTTTTGATACGTTGGTATTAAATATAAATAAAATAATTATTTAATATATTTTTAAAAATATTTTTATATCTTTTACCGGTAAATACATTCATAGTTTTTCTAGAAGTGAAAGGGAAATTAGACATTGTGTGCGCTGATGGAACTTTTATCTACGGGGCAAAATTTTCATCTTGTTAAAAACCCATTTATTTTTGTGTTTTAATAGTGATTTAAAAAAAATTATTTTTATTTTAAATTGATTATTTTATTATTATTTTTATATCATTTTGATGTTAAAAACAATTTTTAAAAATTAAAAAAAATATTATTTTAATATATTTTTAAATAAAAAATACTTTAAAAATAACTAATACCACACTTTAAATAACAATAAAAAAATTGTATGGTCAAGGGTGTATTAAAAACTCTATTGAAAATGACAGTGCACCTACCAAAATAATTAGAAACCTCCAAAAGAAATACGATTCAAAATATATGCTGCTAAACTTTAGCGAATTAAAAATTTACGATTTAATAGGTCGAGTTTACGATAAGATTGAATCTGTTCATGTGATAAAAATAATTTATTTCAAAAGGTTTGTTAGAAAACAAATTAGTTAACTTTAGACAAATCCATATTTCTCTGTTATCGAGGATTTTGTTGCTATTAAATTATGATTGATGGATTTTTTAACACAATTATACCGATCAAATTGATAGGTCAAATCTAATATAGAAAAACTTACAAATTAATTAATATATGCTCCCTTCTTCGAGAAGAATTCCTTAAAAAATAGGGAATTAAGAAGCAAAATAACAATATGATTCTGTATGTTCCGTTCTTAACTCGCCTCTCTCTCTCTCGTAGGAAATCATATTTTTATGCTCCCTAAGAAGCAAAATAACAATATGATTCTGTGTGTCCCGTTCTTAACTCGCCTCTGTCTCGTAGGAAATCATATTTTTATGCTCGCTTGGTCATGTCATATTCATCAAGTCAATCAATGATACTAGACTTTTAATTTAATATTTTTTAAAATTATAATAGTGATTGTTTTTTAAAATATTTTTTATTTAAAAATATATTAAAATAATTTTTTATTTAAAATTTAATTTTAATATTATTATACCAAAAAAAAATTAAAATATTTGTAAAATACAAAATATAAACACGCTAAAAAGCTGAAATCCACACGTGAGGCAGGGTGGTTTTGCTGTATTAAAGAGAGATTCTCTCGCCATTTACAATCTAAGCATGCCCGTGGAAGGTATCTTTTGTAATAATTAAAGGCTTCGTTATCTTCATCTATGTTGTTTAAGCGGAGATTAATATGTTAATTGGCGTGCATGTCTTGGGTCCACGTTGTTAAGACATCTCTCTCACGACAATTGTTTTTTTTCGAGGGCTTTCTTCTTGTTGAAAATATCTCTCTCACGACATTTCACTAGAAAACATAGTTTTGTTGTTGAAAGCTTTCTTGTATGATTCTTGAGAATCGAGGGTCGTAATTCGTAAGATATATTTCATCGATCGTTAATAATCTGTAATTTAGTTTATTTTATCGATCGTTAATAATCTGTAATATAGTTTATTTTTCAAAATGATAATACTTGTTGATTAGTGGAAAAAACTATATTATTTATTTATATTATATTATGGATCAGATGAAAGTTTTTTTTTAGTGTAATTTTTTTTAGGAATTACTAGCATGTTTTTTAATAGATAAAAAATTTAAATTGTATGGGTGTTGACTCGATATAATCTAGTCGACTTAATAGATTTAAAGATAATATAAATAACTGATAAAAATATATTTTAACTTAAAAAGATTTCAAGGTAATATATTTTTTTAATACTAAAATAAAAATAAATTGAATTGATTCGAATCAATTTAAGTTAACTTTGGGACCGTAATAATATCATAAAAATAAATAAAAAATATAAAATTTTAATTTCTAATCCATTTAATGTTGAAAGGTAAAATTAAAAAAAATTATAAAAAATAATTCAAGTCA